TCCCCTAGAAAATTTTGAGCACTAAACACTTAATTTCCTGCATTCTGGAGATATTTTCTGCACCAATTTGTGGTAGAATTGTCTTTATTTAAATAAAGTGATTCAGATTTTTTTAGCTTAAACTTTTTGAACAATGCACATTTGTTTCTTTTATCTTTAAATTACAAGTTTTCTTATTGTGTAAATAAACCTTTCTCAAAGTATTTTTATTTGTTTTTTCAATATTTCATCTAAAGACTGCTTGAAATATTTATCTAGTATTGGCTTGAAAGCAGCGGGGATAAGGAGTTGGGGTCCGGTTTATTTTTCCCCTCGTTGCCGTGATCGGCGCATCTGGGTGACGCAAGTTTGATGTGCGTTAGTTTGATGTTTCCATTCACACTTGCCCATTCTGAGACGTCGAGCTAACGTTATTAGCACATCAGAGACGTTTTCTTTTCTTTTTTTAACCTAACTGACTGATTCGCGCAGAGCTGGATGCCAGAGCTTGTGCACCGGGAACACTTCACAGTCCAGAGCATAAAGCTGAACACAGATGTAGTAACAGTAACGTTACCTGTACTGCCGTATAACAGAGTCACACCAAATGGAGTATATTATGAAGTCTCACACAAAGTATTTATTTATGACATTACAACATTAATTACATCCTACAAAAGTATTTAAGGCCTTGGTAAAGGAAAATTAATACTTTGGTAATGAAATTTAAGACTTTTAAGGCCTTATTTTTGGAATATGAAATTTAAAACTTTAATACTTTTAAGACCCCGCGGGTACCCTGATTAACAAATTAGAGAGCAATGTACAGCCTTTTGCTTGCACAAGGATTCAATTTTAAAAAACAACCCACAAAATGAAAAGCTATAGCTGCTGGTTTTAATACTCAAAAAGTGGTTAAAAAAAAAAAAGTATACTATTATATGAAATTCTAAATCATTCAGATCTACTGGCTGTGGTGGATGAATGAGGATGCAGCGGCAATTCACCCAGGTATCTGTATAAAAGAATGCCCAGTGGACAGCCACTTAAAATAGGCCCAATAACATCCTGTGTTTCACATGGCCAGTCACACAGACGTAAATAAAAACACAACACCAGTAACAACTAACCCTCAACAAGGACAAAGAAATCTCCCTCTGGGATAAACCTCTCAATACCCCCCTTTTCTCAGTGTCCTCTTCCAGCAAAGCTCTGAACTTGGCTGAATAATTAAAAAGCATCCCTGGGCATAATTTGGCTAAAGAGTAGGGGAAAGCAACACTTACCCTTAGCATCCATCTTGAAGATAGAAACAAGTGCTGCATTCACTTGGTTGAACTCTGCTGTATCATCTGAAAGTGAAAAGATTTGATTCTTCAGTAGTCATTCTTAAATCAGCAAATCTGATATCCAGGCAATTATACTGACTGAAAAACAAATTACGACATTAACAATGGACCATAGCTGTGGTTGAAGTAAACACTAGTAAACCACCCCTGTCTGTTTGTAAAAACAAATTCAGGACCTCAAAAGGATATTAAAGTCTTAAGTGGTCAACTTGAGGCAACAAATACCTGTCTGAAGGAGCTGGGTGAGAATATCTGCAACTCTGAGGATGTTCTCGCCAGTTGCAAACCGTGGGAGCTCCTTGATTGCCTGTCGTCGAATCTGGACAAAGACAAGTGCACATACACACACAGGGAGTTATTAGAATGGAATAAAAATGACCATTGTGAAACTATACAGTCAACGGAGGGTGAGTGAGCTTTGTCAGTGAACAAGACAAAGTCTGTACCTGCCACCGAGTCCATAAGGCACCCTTGCACACCTGTGTCCTTTAATACTCACCGACACATCCTCATCTTCACAGAGATCAAGCTGAGCATTAATGGCTGCATCGGCCAGTTCCGGAAAGCTGCTGAAGAACTTGGGAATAAACTGCGCAGCCAGGCGCTTCTCCTTAGGGCCACCCTTCACACCATCCAAGATTACTTGGTAGGCATCTTTGTGCTGCAGAGTAAGAAAGATTACAATAATAAAGATGTGCAAGATATAACAGCAGCATCAAGTTATTATTCTTGCTGAACCACACATTACATAATATGGTGTGGGTTCCAGATTGAAAGTGACTTTGGTTCAATGCTCACTGGGACAGCAGTGCATACAGCTGTAACTTTTAACAGTGCCTGAACACTGAGTGTACCTGGGTATTACAGGCATGTTTACTACAGTAACGTGGGAATTAGGGCTGGACGATATGGGAAAAAATGTTATCACGATAAAAAGTTTCATCTCTTTCGATAATTATCACAATAAATATCAAATCATTATTTGTTTCAAGTTTAAAGGATGATTTTTGCTCATCAGTGAAAGTTGAAGAGACCTGATGGTTAAATCTTCTTTATGGTCAAACCTTGAGGCCAAACAGTTGTTCACAAATCTGAGGTAGAACATTCAAAACAATTATGATAAAATCTTTGTCAACAAATATGCATGAGTAAATTACGTAAAAGCTTTTATCAGTCCTTTTTCCTAAATAAAATAAAAATCTTAATAAAAAAAAAGTCCTAATTAGTGTATGATTCAAGTGAATAAAATCAAACATTTATTGAACATTTGTTATATTGTTATTGAAAAAAAAAATTATATTGCGATAATTAGTTATTGTTTTATTGTCCAGCCCTAGAGGGAATGCCTTGAAACTAGCCACTTTGAGGTCACAATGAGGACACTCAATTTTTTTTAACAAATAAACATTTTTTAATAAAGGGGAGTAGACTGTGAAAACAGTTGCGTTATGTCCTATTGTGGTCCGTTTATTTAGTAACGTTAGAATATATCGCAAAAGGACAACGGAAAAGGTGTTTGAAAGTTTCGGATTGACAAAGACTATTTTCACATTTATGTCAGTTACATAATACATCTATTCAATTGGCATGTAACAGACAAGCATCAATACAATAAGAGATCTCCAAGTAACAATAGATAATAGTAAGAAGAGCTATTACTAGCGCGTGAGGTAAATACCTCGGGAATAAAGTAATTTAGGAGTTCAAATAAACAATTAAAGCGATATGCACGTGATATAGGGTATACCTCCACTTACAAAACCCTGCAGGTTCACTAACCTGTAAACGTCAAGTATGTGCGATGAATTAAACTCATATTTGAGGTAAAGTAAATTATTTTTCCAAATGTGAAGCAAAGCTCCAAAAGCTTCCAGAGAAACATTATCTTAAATGAGAAGTAACGTTAACGTTACTGCGGTAGATTTGAGTTCACAACCTAGCTAGGCTTAATCTAGTTGCCCTGATTTTAGTTTGAAAGATAATGGGTTTAAATAGTAAGTTTATAACCGGCTGGTTTACTTGAAAGTAATAATTGTCGAGTTAGTAACGTTACCGTCTATATTTCAGGGTCGCTATGTCGAGGCCATTTACATTGGTCACTACGTTACGTTAGCTAGCTACAGCTAGCCTAGCACGCACACAATGTTATGTAGCGTAACTCAACAAAGTTAACACAGTGGAAGTAAAATAAGTACTGCGACAAATCAACTAAACTCTCGGTTCAACTGCGTTGAGACGCAAACAAACTGGGCTTTATTTACCTGGCTGAGGTTGTCCTTGGCATCAGCAAGGATCCCGTAGCTCCGATAGAGATCCTCGATAGTGACCGCCATCAGCGTGCGTCGCCTGCCGCTCACAGATAACAACGACGAGAAAATCGTAGAAGAAAACCCCTCTCGGGTTGCGATTGCTCCGTTTTGGACGACTGCAGCCCAAACAACGCCCTATTATCGGAAAATATGTTCTCTGGAAAAGGGGACGTGGAGCTGAAATTTCGAGAAGCCCGTGAATGAACACCCCCCACCGTCTGTCTTCCCGCAATCTCTGGTATGGTGGCTAAAATGCTACGGAACAATGAGTACCGTACATGCGCAGGTTCTTCTTCTTCCCTTTCTTTATGAAATTTAATTGGCGGTTGGCAAACAACGAATTGGTGCATTACCGCCACCAACTGGTACGGGGTGTCGATCAGAAAAAATGACTGGTAAATAAACAAAACAAAATAAAAGCCAACCAAACAAAACAAAAAAACTCATATCGTCTCAGTCATCTTGATTACTCTAAGATAAAAAAAAAAACAATTCGATTGCACTCATCTCTGGAGTTCTTTCTAAGAATATCTATTAAATCAAAGTGTAATGTTTTTTGTCATTCTGAAGTTCTGAATCAGTTTCCTTCTTTTTTCATCATACGGCTGATAGCGTACATGTTCTACTGTCACTTGTTAGTCACAACCGCCTGTGTTATTATTACCTATTTTGAATAAAGTGCTGTTTAACCCAGTGTGTCCAAATCTAAGTCTTAATATGATTGTATCATCTCTTCTGTTCCTTCTTGCACATCTCATTTCTCCCAGTTTCGTCAGAATTTTTTAAAACCACCGTCCTTTCCTCTCTTCCTCTCATTGCTTTTGCCATATTTTCTTCAGTTTCAGTAATTATGCTCTTGATCTCTGTTCTACTGATGCTAACTGCCACATCAATGTATTTTTTTGGTCTCCTTTTACAACCTTATCTGCTATTTCATTTCCTTTGATGACAACATGTGGTGGTACCCACAAAAATATAACTGCAATGCTCATCATTTGAACTCAACATATTGTTTTATGTATTTCTATCAAAATGTCTGGTCTGCACGCGCAGGTTTAACCGACCATGCAGAGTAACAACACATGTGACCACTAGTGTGCGCTTAAGTGGTGCGCAGTAAAATCAGTCATGTTTGAGGGAAATAAAATAAGATGCGTTGAGTCCCTTTTTTATTTTATGTACTATATATTTATAACTATAGGTCCATCTTGGGGCAGGCTGAGGTTCATGGGAGATGGTCTGTTTAGTAATTTCTTCACCTTCATCTGACATATTGTTTGTTATACACAGTAAAGTGACCCGTGTAAACTCTGAACACTGTATTTGACCTCTGACAGCGAAAAAATATGCATCAAAACTGAAAGTCAGTGCAAACACTTTTATTGAACTAATTCCCCACAACAACAATTCTGTACAAGCAATTTCCGCTCCAAATAAAATGTTTCTGGCATAAAACTTTGATCCAAGATTCAAGAAATGTGGTTTCACAAGAATCTTATTCCTGCTCCAAACTGGACCCCATCACATATCCTGCAAGGACCGCAATAAAAATTGGTTGAAATCAACATCAAAACAAAAAAATCAGGTTATTTCCAGCACATGGTAAAGACAATAGACATGGGACGTATGTCTCTTCAAAGAGTGCTCTCATCATGTACAGTATGTAATGTTCTCATGTGCATCTACATGGCTGTACAGAAAAAGTGCTTGTTTGTGAAAGAACGTGCTCCCAACTTTGATAGAGCAAGGTTTTGACATTGCTCAATATTTACTGTAATTGGTTTAATAAGCCCTTAATATTTCACACATGTAAACCGATTTGAGACTTACACTGCATAAGTTTTAGAGACTGACCTAGACAGGCAGTTTCAATGTGACTGTTTAGTCTATGCTAGTCTTTAATTCATCATTCATTGTCTGTTTGCTGGGGGGTATTGGAAATTATGTTTACCCAGTGTGCCTTAAATGTCTTTCAAGTAAATCTGCCTTAAATTAAAAATCCTCATACCTGCGATTAGCAAACATAACCAGCCCTACCTGTCTCCACTCTGGACTCCCATGGGAATGCAGTAATTCAGCTCCAGCCTGGCAATGTTCCCCAAACGCAGCACAATGCCCAGTCCATATGACCAACGGATGCATTCCGCCAGTTTCCTCAAATGTGCTTGTGGCCCCTCACCTGAGTAAAAACAAACACATAACACATCAAGGCTAACCCCTGTCCAAACCTGAACTAGATGCGAGTAAAAATTCAAATTCACCCAATCCTATTTAATGAATTCAGTCATAAATGTCAAAGTCTGGTGCGTTAAACATAAACCTTTAACTGACACTACATTGATAATTGTTCTGTTTCCAACTACTTACCATAGTTAAGGTTACAAAGGTTTCCGGCATTGAGGAAGAAGTGTGTTCTGAAGAGGTCACCAAAGCCCCCCTTGCCTGGTCTGAAGGGTAGAGGGGTGTAGAGGTGGAGGCCCCCAGCCCAGTAGCCCTCTCCTCCCAGGTAGTCACCTGCCATACCAGTAATACCAGCACACAACCCTTCACTTAACCATCAAACTTCACTCTGGTTACCAAGAAACTCAGCCAAGTTAATGTCTCACCTTCACTCTGTGGGCCCATACTGTACATACTGAATCCCCTGATACTGGTGGGGCCGCCTAGATAGAACCTAGGATGTCGACAAAGAAACACAAAACAAGACATAATACAGTTATAAGTTTTCTTTGAATACAAAAGAAGCCTAAAGTTAATGCATTTTTTTTTTATTTAACTTAGTTTTATGGCTACAGTTGGTCTAGTTCAGAGGTTTCACACTGTAAGGTGAAAGGGAAAAGTACATGCCGGTGTTCTGAAAACAACTAATAAAATGTACTCTGAACATCCAGAAATCCACTTAGAAATCATAGAAAAAGACACTTTTCAACTCCAGAACCAGCCTAAAAATCAAGAAAATCAAGACCGGTTTTGGTCTCGTCTCGGACGCAACCATATTTGTACTCAGTCTTGTCTTGGTCTCGGACTCGGGTATTATTTCAAGACTAGTCAAGACCATAACTTTTGGAAAATCAATAAATTGCTTTTGCATTGTGTGATTTATTTGTTAACATCCCAACGTGGATGTAAAACGTATTGCTACAAATGCAACCAATAACCCTAATTAAAAATGTGTTGTTATGAGTGTCACCCCTCCCGCGATGGTAAACATTGGAAAAAAAGTGTTGAATAAAGATGCTTCGTTGATTCCAGCTCTTAGTTTTTGTATGTGGGTGTTTTAATAGGAATGTGGATCTTTCAGATCAATTTGAGAAGTACCTATCATCTCGTTCCACATTTTATTGTGTGTCATGTAATGTGGGGAACTGGTCTTGGTCTTGACTCGCTCTCGCTCTCGATTTGGTCTCAGCCCCTAAAAGTCTTGGTCTTGTCTTGGTCTTTACTTGGTCTCGGTTTGGACGGTCTTGACTACAACACTAGTGTCAATCTGAGGAATTGTGAACAAGTATAAGCACAAAATAAATACAAAATAAAAAAAACGGAGCTCAAATTGTCTCGTTTTTCTCTGACTTCAAAAAAACACGGTTTCTCTATTTCTGTACCTGTCTGCTATGCTTGTTGGCCTGTCACCGATGGGTAGGAGCAAACCACCCCACAATGAGGCAGAAAGGACCTGGAAGAGTGTGTACACAGAATGACAGAAATAACAAACTAAAGAAGTATGTAAAGTTGTTGGGTTTTTTTAACATAAAAAGACAGACTACACCAAGGTTTTTGGAAATTAATCTGTTGGTCATTTGGTTAATTTAACAGACCGTTCTCACAAAAGCCTGGGTGTATTACTTGAATTCTTTACCTAGCAATAAACTATGATACAGTATTGTACATTAATGTAATAAATCTAACACTTCTATATCCTGTCAGTTATACATGGCCAAGTAAAACAGCTTAAAGTTAAACTGCATTAAGTGCCTTTAGATAAGAGTTTGTTAAACAGCTGAAATATAAAATGTAGAATCTCACTGAGTCCCAGAAGAGTGTTTTGTTGAGCTGAATCTCAAAGTCCTCTTTCAGGAAACTGGCATCGCCCCCAGTGTAACCAGCAAGTTCCTACACAACCATAACACAAACCGTCAACCTGGTGTACCACATCAGTCATGTTGTTTTCATAAAGCATTTTAAAAAATCTCTGACTAACCTGATGGATCTTCAGAAGGCCACCTTTCCTGGGAAGGATGGAGGAGTTTCTGGTGTCGATGACCATAGCATGCTGAAAAACAAAATGGCACCATTCGGCAGCCAATAAAAACTTCACATCTACTGTATCATACAGGCTATAGTCAAATCTTCAATTTAAAATAGAAGACAAATACTGAAAGTGAGGACTTGAGGGAATGGCCACTCTCCTCCCGGACGGCAAACGAGGCAGTGCGAGCCAGACATCCCAGCTCTCTCCACACTCCCTCCCACTTCAGTGTTTGGCTGGTCTTCCAGACAGGGAACTGTGGGTGGTAAATTGATAGTAAGAAAATAGTAAGTTTATTTCTTTTGTTTGTACAGATATCTTGCAGTAAATGAGCATACAGTATACATTGTTTGAAACATAGTAACTGTCCTTAAAACACAGGAAAAATAATGGCTCTGTGAAAGTCTGTCAAGGCCTATTTCATAATCCATCCATATATGACAAGTAAATGTTAGTGCAAAACAGATGGTCTAAAACAAAGTCCAAACTGGACTTTATGGTCCACAAGAGATTCTTTTCAGCTCGTTTCACTTCCTCAATGAGCACGGAAGCAAGAGAATCAGAAACACAATTTTAATTGCACAAAATGTGAGAAAAAAATAGAAACCAGTATTTACGCTCAGTTCTGCAGAGATGCCTCGATCCGTCTCCCTCAGGGAACTCCATGGAAACTGACCTGTTACTTTGTAGATGTTCAGTGAGATGCTGAAAGTGAAAAAGAAATGAACAATGTCAATACTTTAATAGGATCCCTTTGTGATTACAAAATATATCCATTTACATTTAAATTTACTCATCTGGCAGACACTTTAATCCAAAGCAATTTACATTTGACAAACAACATACAAGCATCAGTAAAGTAAGAGATCTATGAGTAACAACAGATATCAGCAAGAGCAGCAATAATACTTGTAAGAGCTATAAACGCATAAGGCCTCAATGGGATAGATACCTAGTGGAAGCAATAAGAGTTAACAAAAACAGTGCAATTAAGACAAGCAAGGTGTAAGGAGAGAGAGGACGAATAGCACAGGAAGTGCATGTTAGAGGTTATGGATTAGAGGTGTTCAGAAGTGGTGAGTTTTCAAGAGCTTCTTGTTAGTTCGTTCCACCATCATGGTGTTACAATATCGAAAGATATGAAACTTTTTATCGTGATACCATTTTTGGCCATATTGTCCAGCCCTAGTGCATGATGGACCCAAATCTATTCATAGTTTTCAGTCATGTGACATGCGCGGTGACCTGGAGGGCAAAACACGGACCAACAAAGCGTCTCACACCGCAACTCCCCCGCAGAGATGCCGCAAAAGCAATCAAATTTTATTTGGATCATCTTTCAACTTAAGAAAAAGAAAGACATGAACACAAACTGCAAGTATTGGGCATATCTGATCCATATAACGTTACAGCATCCGCTGCTGCATTTCTAGCGTTAAAAACCGCCAGGTCCCTGCCGCTGCTCGACTGCGGTAATTTTTACTTTTACCTTCTGGAGAATCCCTCACCTAACACAGCTCAGGCTCGTCTCCTCGATTAGTAAATCCGAAATCACAACAACCATCCCTCATTTTGGCAACACAAAAAGTAACAAACTCAAAGTAACAGTGTATCACTTGCATATTGGTTGGCAGGCAATGGAAATTAACGTCTTTTTGCTCTCCAAGGGAGCTTTTTCATTGGAGTGTGACGTCACGTAAAAACTATGAATAGCTCAAGTACCAGGAAAGTGACCTCAACCACCATTAAATGAGGCCAGTAATATGAACTGCATAACTTATAGCAAAAGAAAAAGCCTTCCTGCACATACAGTAAACATACATACATACTATGTATCAAGGTGATAAGGCCCAAAAAAATAATTTATTTTATGAAGTTGTTCATATCTTACTTGCGTTCAAAGTGTCCTGGTTGGGGTTTGAAGAAGGACAGGCCGTAGGATGTCTCTTTGGTCCCGTAGGAGAACTGGAAGGTCAGTTTCTCTGCCCGACCCAATACATTGGGTAACTTCAGGCCCAGTACCTGAAATTAAAGTGGGTGAGGTGATTAGGGTTTCCATTCTGTATTTAGAGGCAACCAAATTAATAACGGAAATTGGTAAACAAGTGTATTAAGGCCAGCGCAGTGTGACGCAATGATTGAATCCAAAACAGTATGTGGTCTTTCAGAAAGTATCTGGTGGCATGAGCCATCACAGTGCTCACCATGCTTCCCTCATTGTTTCCGACCATGGTGTTGTAGCTGCCTGTCATACGTCTCAGCTCAGTGACTTCAAACGTCACGTCGAGGCCGTTGGGAAGAGCATTTTCACCTAAAGAAAACAAACATCAAAATGATTTTATGTTAAAACAATGAGAGGGGTATCTCCTGTCATGATCTATGTTTGTCATTTGTTCATTAATTTGGAAATGTATGTGTGATTGACAGTACCTCGTGAGGTGTCAATAACAACTTCAACTTTTCTGAAGATACCGAGACGCAGCAGCTTCTGTCGGGCTTCATGGGATTTTCGCATCACCTGCACAACAAAATGAACCATGTGTTGGTGCTACTCACAAGCATAAATTGAACAAGCATTAATTAGTGCAGCTGTTTTAACATGCACCTACATCAATCAAGTTCTTTGCCTGGAAAACTCCTGCGATTTCATAAGTCAACAGGTCCTCCTTGGTTCTTCCGAGCCCATCTATGTGCACTCGTTGAACCACAACCTGAAAATTAAGAACATTAAAAACATCCTAAACAAAACACAGTATATTCATGTCACAAATAAATCTATTAAATTATTTAAGTCCACTAAAGCTGCTGGCCTGGTTGTGTTTTAGATACAGATTAAATAATTTCATTTACAGCCATTATAAAATTTTTTTTAGAAGTGGCTATTTTCTAATAAACTGTGGCATGGATATGAGGCAAGCAATGCCTTACTCCTACGCTGGCAACGCACAAACATAATGTGGAGGCAGGTCTGGCAATGTGAGAATCCTATTGAGGCAGTCTGGTGTAATTAAGGTCTGGAACAAAGCAAATCTTACATCCTTGTTTTCAAGAACTTCATGCTTTGGCTCCAGCTCAGTCTCTGGAGCCTCGATGTCGTCAGCTTGAACTCCTAGCTCTGGCCCCCGCATGGGCAGAGGATCCAGGCTCTGCAACGCAAAATATGAGGGCGAACATTTTTTAATTATATTATATTAATTATATTCGCAATCAGAGGTCATACTGTATTTTACCAATCAAATGGAAAAAATAGAGTGTTGAATCAAAATATATTAAATATGGGTCTACAAGATCAGGGCTGTAGGTACCACTGAGGTCATGTTCTTGGAAATATTTCTTGACATTTTAAGGGTTTATAATGACAAGAAAAGGAGTTTACATTCTATAAATACACACAGATTATACATGTTGGATATTTAAAAGCTGAATATCTTATTATTGCTTGATCTACTGACCATTTTCTTGATTAATCATTTGGTCTGAAAAGTATCTATCACGGTTTCCCACAGTGAAAGATGACTTCTTCACACGTCCGTCGAACAGACCAAAATACAAAGATATTAAGCTAACAAAGATATAAAACATATAAAAGCAGCAAATCATCACATAGGAGAAGCTGGAACCAGAGAGGGATTGACATTTTTGCTTGCTGATTAATTGTGTCAGACCTACACTACAGCATAATGCAAGGAGATTTACATTTTAATTTTTTGGTGTTTGACTGGTGACACACTCATTTCATAAATGCACTAAGCAAATGGGAAATGTGCAGGGGAAATGGAAAACTACTACTAATCACCTACTTATTTGGCTAACAAAAACATATAGATGAATTCTAGTTATATTTTGATTTGTCTGCAAACCTTTAACTACAAGTTTAATTTTCTCATATGACGTTTCTTTATTAATTTAAAAAGGTATATACTGAATGTGTCAAATATAACTGAGGGGCCGTGATTGCATTAATTCTTGTTAGATTCAAAAAATTGCTTTGCCAACATTGTTTGACATAAATATCCATCCAATAAAACTTCCTTAATTGAACTGAATTTAATATATATAACGTTTGTGTTTTTAAAATATGTACAGAACAAATGGATAAGACTAACAAGTAAGTAAAATGTTATAAAAAAAAAACACTAAGAGTGTAGAAAGCACATGCTGTCAGTCAGTGGAGAAACAGCTAACTTAGCATCTCTCATGCTGTCAATTTGTGTGAAAACACGCAGCAGACAGACTCTTTACGTTTAATTGTTAAGTTAAAACTTGATTGCCTGGTTTAGTAGAGAGGTAGTGCAGTGTCTTGTCACAGAGCTGAATGTCTGAGCCTTGTTGAATGTACAGTATGGGCCTTTCCCTTCACCACAACTGCCGAAATAAACATATAAAGAGGTCAAAATCTAACTTAGCAAACACGTTTACCGGACTTATCCTTACCCTGGCATGGACGGTGCCCATGCTAAGCTCCACAGGGCGCTGTCACAATAAAAATGGGCGAAACTTTGCGTGAATAAAAGACTGACTAACGTAACCTTACAAGTACCCGGAGAAAGTCGAAGATGCTCTGTATAAGTAGGCGGCCATGTCACTTCCTGGCCACGCCCTCTGTTGCTGCGCGTTCAACACAACAGCGCTGCAAAATGAGGGAAAAAAAGAAAAATGTTTTTAATTATGTTCAAGAAAAAGTATTCTAGATAGGTAGGTAGGTAGGTTTATTGTCACAATATAGCGAGTTATAGAGTGAAATTAACTAACTCCATTCTGCTACATAGCAGACAGACTAGTACTAATAGCCTACTATGAATGTTATTATTTTATAAAATATTAAACTATAATATATCATATCATTATTAAATGTATTACCAATGAATACAGCTACTACTAATAATAATAATAATATGTTTATTGTTTAAAAAAATTTTAATCAAATAAAATAAAGAGCTTAAAGAGATAGAGATCATTACTGTCAGAGATTATGTCATTTATTACTACAGGCAGTTTATTGTAGAAAAAATTGTTGTTTTAAGAGTAATCATTATTATACACTACACTATGTTCATAAACAGATTTTATGTTTCAGGCCAAGGTCATGCTGAAGAGTAAACAAAAGTATGGTGAAAACATGTCAAATGTACAGTATCTTCTATGTAAGGGACCTTATTAAACTGACCAAAAGTGTGAGATTAAATTTTTTTTTGTTTAATTTCAATAAAGAATAGAAAGGGAAAAACATCATTCAGAACTGCGATGTAGAGCTAGGACGTAGACTTACAATGTGAAACCTGTTGTACTTCGCCGAGAGCTCTCAATTAACAGCCTCCAGGTTTTAGAATAAATCCCACAACAACATGCAAATGTTGACTTTATTCTACAAAGTGGTGAATACTTGAAAGGAAATGAAACTACATGAATCAGAATACATGTTAACATTAGCAGTTTAATAACAATAATTATATAAAATGTGCTCATTTTATAAAACACAGCTACAGATAAAGCCAAGTCCAAATGACAACATCCATATCTATATATAAGTTCACAGTTATTCATACGTTGCTGAGCATCTCTGCAGGCCTTGCATCCTGTAACAACAAAGCAAGACAAAAATTACCTTTATAATATGGTGAATTTTGTAAATGCTAGTAATGTAATTGTCATGCTGTTTAGATTGTACAAGCTACTCTTACGCTTCTGTTTTGAAAGTCTCATGGGATATTCTGTCTTCATTTACACCTTCAGGACACTCATTAATGTCTTTTATGCCCAGTGTGGTCAGAGCTGTGGGGAAAAAGCCTCTCTGAGTATTTGTTTTAGTCCACAGTGTCTTATAAGTATAATTATTGGTTATAATACAAAAAGACTGAATACCTGACAAGTAAATGCATTAAAATATAGCTTATTATTTTGGTGGGTGACCTTGGTATTATGTTACTAATATAAATAATGATTGTGTATTTAATTATATTGAGAGTGTGTACAGTGTCGATCTCTCTGCCCAAGAAAACCTAATAGTGTCCATGTCCTGTGCTCACCCTGCTTGTATTGGGCAAAAGTGATGTATTTTTGGTTAGCGGGGTCCAGTATCCCAAACACTGCATTCAAGTTGGCGTTGTTGAACAGATTCGGCCCTCTCATACCACTCTGTTGAGAAATCTTCAGCTGTTCCAGTTGCTCAATAAGGAACTCTCTGGGATTCTCTGAAAGAACAAATCAATCACAATAAATCACTGCTGTTAAGGTTTCTATGCTGTGTTTATGGTGGCCTAATAAAGGTTAAATTATTTAACAATTTAAATTATTTCAATAAACTGGACAGCCAGGAGGTGATCCTTAATGTCCACCTCCAGTTAAAGAATAGGCATACACAAAATATGTATTTAGCATAATAGCAATGCTATTAAATTGAAATTACAATCGCAATCATAATATCAAGAATTGGGCTAGGCCTATGATAATCCTACAGTCCTAGACTCTCTCTCCTGTCTTTGTGTAGCAAATTGAGTTTATTATTATTTTACAAATAAACATGTCTCACGGTTTGGTCTGATGCCTGCCTTTTCCAGACCCTCAGCGACTTTAATTTTATCTTTTTGTCCCCACCAACAGTGACCTGAAATATCCACCCTTGACTTTAGGGAAGGTTTGCAGTAACCAAAATATTAGGATTCAGAACAACAATTTCAACAGAATAAAACCTAAAATGAACAATAGTAGAAATATAGCAATGTAAAACTGATAATATATTTAAATAAACTTTATACACTTGGGTATGTCCAGCATAGGAATAACGTTGACAACGTTTGTGCTGTGTTAAAACTGTAGGTGTTAAATTACATTTTAGTTTGTTTTTTTTAATTAATGCTTGGGTATGTATGTTTAGTTAACGTTAGTGCTCCTATTTCCATTTTTTCATCCTCTTTCCATCTGGCACCGGGAAAGTCAGAAGAACGAAACTCTAATCCAGCACAGATACAGTTAGATAAGGTCATTTGTGACTGGAAGGCTAACCAAAAACTTGTTATGGTCTTTCGTTAATACAATTTGAGCTAGCGTTAGCGTTACTAATTAAGCTATTACTAAAGAACTAGCGTTTTTCAGCACAGTGTGTTAGGCTGTGTGTATAACAGAGACTAAATAAGCTCTAACCAGGTCTGTAAAAGAACAGCATGCTGGTCAGGTTGTCCATGAGCTCGATAATTTTGTGTTTCTTGAGATAATCAGCAGCATCGTTTTCTCTCTGCGTCGCCATCTTTTCCACTTCACCTTTGTTTGAGCTTGTTGCTATGATACGCCAACACGAACGGTTGAGGCGTCAACACAAACAAACACACGTAACGTTACCTGTGTGGTCCATCACAAATACAAATAATCCTGACCAGATCACTTTTATGAGCCTAACCGCAACCCTAACTCTAACATTAACCTAAAACTAAAAGTAAAGTCAAACTTACAACAACAAAATGTCTTGGTGTTGCTTCTTTTGTCTGACAAACAGCCTCCAAACCCCAAATTATTTAATTTACAATGATACAGTACAAAGAAAAGCATCTTCACATCTTAAAAGCTGGAAACAGATTTTTTTTGGCATTCTAGCTTGATAAAATTACTTTAAAGAAGTAATAATCAAAATTGTAAAAAAATTTTTAAAGCACTAACAACAGTTTAGTTTGATATTTTTATTTCAAATTTCATTTTCTCTGCTAGGGGGCAAAAACAATCAAAGGATGTACTTTTGAATAAAATAGAATTATTTAATGACTTCAGCAGTTACCGTGTGTTCATGAAGCGTTCTATTACTCTCTTACATATTTCATCACTTGGTCTAAAAAAATGCAAACACATTCAAAAAGGATGACGACATATATTAACAACACACGGATACATATGGTTGTATAAACCAAATGACCTTGTTCCAGATAAGATCATTATCCTGAGCAGCCAGACGCCAACAGTGAAGCATTTTATTCCACTCCTATTCCAGAAATTACTTTTCTCCCAGGCACATGGAAGCCTCTAGCTGTTGGCAAAATTGGACTTAGTTTGCTTGGATGAGTGTCCATCAAAAATAGGATCAGTCCACCTTTTGTTCTGCTTTAAGATGCTGCAGTGCAGCAGTAGCTTCTTCTCTGGCTTTGTAACCCAGGAGTTCTGTCTGTAGCTCCCCAGGCTTTGGTGGGATATCTGGTATACTCTAAAAAACAACAACAACAACAACAAAAGCAAGTACTGTTAAATATACTGAAAGACATGGCCTGTTTATTTGGGTGATGTCGTAGTTTCTTTTAATTCCCAATTATTCCAATTAATTGTATAACTGGTCAAATGTTGATAACATAATGTCACATCAACATATTTTCAGCATCTACAGTGACACTCTACAGTAACAAAATTTCTTTAGGCAATCTGAAACAACAGTCAAAGTCTGACTTTAGTGTTTGTATTTTTGGAGCTTATTCTCACACAGCAGTGGATGAATGAAAGCAAATTGTTTAAAAAAAAACTGACTGGTCTATCCCTAACGGACATATCTATGACCATAAGCCCATTTTTGAGTAAAAGCTATCTGTCAAAAAGGACTATGTGTAATAACAGTGACAATACACTACACCATCTAGTTGTATGGTGGCACATTTATTTGGATTTTGCAAACTTTTCAAAAACCTGAAAATGATAATCATGATAACTTCAATGCATCCCAACACGTTTTCATAACCAGAACATCTACAGAAAAAAACAGACTGTGGAAAAAGGTCAGTTCTGTTCCTCACCAGATCAGGTAGGTAGTACTGATGGACAGCCTGTGCTCCTGCAAACATGGCCAGTACACTGGCACCAAACATCCTCAGGTAGCGGGGCCAAGACACACCAGCTGGCATCTTCACCTGGAAAAAGAGGAAGAGATTACTAGCTAGTTCATCATTTTAATGGAATATATATTCATACACACATATTATACATGGACTGTATAGGATTGCTAACCACCTGCACACTGTGAATGTTTGTTAGCACTGCTGTAACAGTTAACGTTACTAGGGCTAAAACTTTAAAGAACAGAAAACAGAGACAGAGCGACAGACATAAACTGACAAGAAATGACGCCCGTTAGACCTTACCTTGTACAATTAACTGTCTCTTAAATAAATTACCGTAACGTGAAGCTAATTTTCACCATTTTAAACCCAACTGCCTGTCATTGGGACACACAAGCAGGTCATGCTGTTTCGCTAACCCGGAGATAATTATAAACGGGCAGTGAGCTCTTACTCTGACCACATTTACGGAGACCAAAAGTTAAGATTCAGTTTACCGTCGCCTGTTCGTGCGTTTGCTGTGGGATCCGCTTTTGTAAACATATTGCAATTGCTTTTTTTTCTCTTTTTCTTTTTTCTCTAGCTTGAATAAAAAAAAAACCCACATGCTTTCTATTCCATTATTTCCAGGCTACTATGAGACGTAGGTTAGGTTCATCTAACTTTAGCCTTTTTTGGTGAACAGCTAAACTCGCTATTTGTGTAATAATGTGCCTTTTGAACTTGCTTTGTTGCACCAGTACAGTTACATTAGGAGAGTTGGAGGAAAAAAGTAAATACTACTGTAGATAACAGGGTTCAGATATGGATTTCTTTTTGACTGCTTTTATTAAATACGTTCAGATGAACAGGGCAATGTATATTAACAATAAAACAAGACAATGATATATATTAAGAGACAAGGCAATCATAGAAATTGCAGAGACAGATTAGACTAGGACAAATAAAATAAAACACAAGACAATAAAACAAAAGAAGCAGAAAGCACATTTTGTGAGGGAGATATAAAGTAATATATAGCCTATATATTTCCTTTATGTAACATGTTCAGATGAACAGGTCAAGGTATATTAACAATGATAACACAAGAAAATGATATACATTAAGAGACAAGGCAATAGCAGAAATAATAAAGACAGATTAGACTAGGACAAATAAAATAAAACACAAGACAATAAAACAAAAGGAGCTGAAAGCACATTTTGTGAGGGAGATATAAAGTAATATATAGCCTATAAATTAATAGACTTTTTAGTGAGTTATTTACCAATTACTAAAGAGGTTTTGATAATTGTGAGACAGAGTCAAATAGATGTTGTAATTCAATAGGGAAAAAATGGAAATTGGGAGTTTTTAAGCGTTTTAGCTTTATGGATGTGAAATATGCCAACAAGACGCAATAGTTTTACAGAATCATTTAAGATAATGCACTTTACACCATATATGTAAAAGGAGTTCCGATTTTACTACGGAGTGATGCGCTGCACAAAAGCAAAACATCTTTGGCGGCTACGGTATAAATTCCTGTTGGTGCTTTCATGAGAGTCGCCATCTAGCGGTAGCTTGTGCGAACACATTCAGACTGTGCATCATGAACTATAACCCCGTGTTTTATAATATTTAAATGAATAAATAACATGTACAGTTTTACCTAATGATTATTGGTCGTAGGCTGTAAACGTATAGTTGTGTAATGTGACTAAGCATCCTAAAGATCATTTTAGTCTGAACCGCGCAGTACACCTCCTGACCAAGAGGTGGCGGTAAGCATTCACTCAACCCGAGCAAAACGTAATGTTGAGCGTTTAAATGGTCTTTGTTTTGTGAGGATTCCCTGCCCCCCGTCTCCTTATTTGAAAACTAAAGCACAAAATGTATGACAGGTATGTTAGTTTGCTCATATACCTTTATGTGTCGCTAATTTAGAGGTAACTTGTGGTTTGAAGATAGCCGTAGGACTGCGTAATGTTTGTTAGCTTAAGTAAAGCTTCCACCTTCCTGTAGCAGCGTCCATCCGTCTTTGTGCCAGCAATGCCCCTAATGTGCTATAATCTTCACACAGCTCCTCTCTCCAGTGTTTATTAATGCGTTTGTCAGCAGAATGAATGTTAATTTATTCAAATAAGTCAACAGTTAAGATGGAAGAAAACCAGTATACATCATTGACGGTTCCCACGGATTATTTTCAGCAGTGGTGAGTTGGTGTTGGAGGTGGAAGGTCCTGGGAAACTTCTTATGTTTTCTCCTCGACGTCTTCATTTTCATGCATGAGATGCAGAAAAATAAATAGCATTTGACACACTACATCACACATGTACTTTATATTTAGGCTTGTGGCAAATGATAGTGTAATTATTAAGGGTAGTACCCTGTCGAAATGTAATACAATGTTCCTCTAAATGAACATGTGGATAATAATGAAGGTTGTGTAACAGTAAATGTAATAATTGCCAGTTAATTTTACAATGTGATGACATAATATTACGTATAAATAAAACATATTTTTTAAATTACTGCATTATCCTGCAGTTATTACACGACCACTTGCTACAGGCTTCATAAATACACCCACAGTGGCTCTCATTCAGCGTCTTTGCCAACTGTGGAATGGGTACAGCCTGAAAGTAAACTTTTCACACGTTTGATCTGTAGACTTCATGTCGATCACAGTCACAATGTATTTGCAAGTCTTATCAGTTGTTTGTATATTTTCATTCCATTCTGTCAGCCTACCTATTTATGGGTGCAGTGAGTGAATGTTTTAGGTTATATTCTCTAAACTAATGAAATAGCCTCAATAAAGGGAAAAACTGCTTGACTTACATACTCTTGCAATGAATGAAATGCAGAGTATACAAACAGGTGTATACCAGAGCATGTATGTTTGTAAGTATTGTGTCTTGTAAGTTTGCCTCACCCACTTGTTCACGCACCCCATTGAACGCCAGACATAATTTGTCTTCTCTTGCCGTGTCCAGATCCTGTTTCGTTTTCTTCCTTTGCTCACCTTCCTCTTCTTCTCTTTAACCTTCATCGTCCTCCTTCTCTTTTCTTCTCCCACGCACCCTCTCTTTTCTAGGTACCAGTCCAGCCAGCAGCATCCTGAGGCGCAGTATGTAATGCCGTATCACAACATGGGCCATTACACAGAAGGTCCCAGAGATGATCTCGTCATGGCAGAGCTGTCTGTCCACCGGGAGCCCCCTCTTTATCAGGACCCTCTTTATCAGAACTGTCCCCCTGCCCAAAATCACTACCAGGACCTGACCTACCAGCAGAACGTCAGGGAGCAGCAGCAGCAGCAGCCTCCTGCACATCAGCACCACCCTCAGCATCAACATACAGTACAGCAGCAGGAGCAGAGTGTTCAGCACCAACCTCAGCCTGCCGGTCCACCTCAAGGTATGTAAGAGATTATTAATCAAAGTAATTCTGTCCCACACATAAAATAGTTTTTGCTCACATCTACTGTATTTTAATATGCTGCTATCCTTTTTTCTAGCAATACATCTGTCAGCCTGTACTATATTTTGCACATGCTGCATGGTATGATTTGGCAATGATTCTCTGGAATAATTTGGGGAAATAATCTTAAGCAGAAAAAGACATCATAAAATGTAAATCAAAATTTTTGTCTTTTTTTTCAGCCAAGCAGCTGCCCTTCAAGCCTCTATCTACGTGTTTTCTCTAATGGCCGTGACTGTGCTTGTGAATTCAATAACAGGTGTTTTTTATCTTTTTATCAGTCACCGTCATACACGTTCTTTCTCTCTTCCCTAGTTGTGACACCAGTGAAGAAGAAGAGAGGCCGGCCTCCTAAGCAGCAGGCGGAGGACGGCAAGGCGCAGGAAGAGGAGGATGAGATTGAGGCCGCCAAAAAAGCCAAGAGGGCTCTCAACCGCTTTAACGGCATGTCAGTGGCTGAGGTTATGGCCAAAACCCTGCCAGACGTTATTACCTACAATCTTGACATTTTGATAGTGAGTTATTTACTGGGGGCATTTTTAGAATTTATGTATTTGTTTATTTGAATAAGTACTGAATTAGAGGTTTTTGTGCCAGTTGTTTAAAAAAAAAAAGAGAGATTTACACCAAGTGTGTCTATGTTGTAAGGTTTCAGTCACAAAAAAATTCTTATTTTTAGGTCTGTTGCCATGGTAACACATTCATGTTTCTCCTCAGATTGGAATTAACCCAGGACTATTGTCAGCCTTCAAAGGACACCATTACCCAAACCCAGGAAACCATTTCTGTATGTTGAAATTCAATTGCATTACTGACTACAGGAAATGCAATCCAGCTTTCACTGTTAACTTCTTCTACTTTGTTGGACCCAGCATGGGTCCATCATTATCTACACATTTATTGCAGCTCAGATTTGTTCAAACGCATCATTTTAAGTACAGATCCCAGAGCTTCCAGCGATACAAAACATGTCATGCTGAATTACAAAGAAATGTTATATAGTTATTTAAATATACTCAAGCTTTTGTTTTGATGTATTGGTGCAGTCATAAAAATTTTGTTTTGAGTTTGAATATTTCACTCACACAACTGAATGTGCAGTATGCGTGACAGTGTTGTGCCATGTTGGAAAATATTTCCAAGAAGTTTTTTAAAGGGTCGTCAAAGGGGAATATCAACATTTATGGGGTCAATAGAAAAGGTATAAATGCCATTTAATGTTGGTTTTTGGCAGACAGTTTTTCAAAATGAGAGGTTGCTAAAATCAGGGTGCACAATGATTTCATAATCTTTTACTTGTAGCTCCTCAAGATTATTTATCAGACTGTTTCTAAGTATTGTAGGCACACAATTTTTTCTCTAAAGAATCTTTTACATATATAATATTAGTCTTTTTTCTGATTGTACTTTATGTTTTTTGCACTGTTTATTGTTATGCTGATAAAGCAGCTAAGTATATTTGATGCTGGTGCTGTCATTCACTTTACATCAATCCCAGCAGATCCAGTATCAGCGCAGCACATCATTGTACAAAAAGAAAACATTTTACTGATTGGCCAAAACCGTAAAAAGTAATTATGCTGGAAAACAAACCTGCACATGGTCCAGCTGTGTGTGCTTTTAAAAAAAACTAGTCAGTTTCCAGTGTTGAAATGTATTTTGTGCGTCACTTAATTTTCAACTGTTCTTTTCTATCCAGGGAAATGTCTGTTTCTTTCCGGTCTAACTGACCAGCAGCTCAACTACATGCATGACCAGAGTCTGCCAGAGAATTATAGCATCGGCTTCACCAACATGGTAGAGAGGACTACACCTGGCAGCAAGGATCTCTCCAGGTGAATTAAAAACACATTGATCTATTTAGTATATAGAAATGCTTTTATACAGAATGATTCAGAGTTTGTGCAACAGTTAGACTAAGCCTGAATTCTAAGATAGATAATATTTTTGTGGATGTACATTTTTGTGCCAGTAAGGAGATTCGTGAAGGAGGCCGACAGTTACTTGACAAGCTGCAGAAATACAAGCCATTAATAGCAGCTTTTAATGGAAAAGGTAAAATTAATAAACTACTTTATGTATTTAGATGGCTTATTCATAAAGCCACTGGGTCAGTTTAACAGTGTATTGACATTTGTTTTTTCCCAGGTATTTATGAAATCTTCTGCAAAGAAACATTTGGTGTGAAGGCGAAGAATCTCGAGTTTGGTCTACAGCCCTACAAAATTCCAGAAACTGAAACCGTATGTTGAAGCAGTATCTGGATTACTTAAAATATACTCAACCATAGGTTAACTCAAAAAATTAATAATCCTCATTGTATCCTTTCCTTTTGTCTAGGTGTGCTACTTGATGCCATCATCAAGCCCCCGCTGTGCCCAGTTTCCTCGAGCACAGGATAAGGTGCATTTCTACATCAAGCTGAAGGAACTGCGAGACCAGATGAAAGGCCTGGCACCCAGCCACGAGGTGGAAGAGACACAGTACTCGTTTGATCTGCAGCTAGCTAAAGGTAAACCGTTGGATTATGATTTATTTTGTGGCTATTTTTGGATACAAAGATATACCTGCTTATTTGGATTTTCTGAAACATAAGCAGGGTACAGTTTTGTCATTTTTGTTCACACACAAATATGTATATGTCTTTGATAAAGATCTAACTCCTTGATGTTGCGTTTGCTCTGCAGAGGATGCTAAGAGGCTTGCAATTAAAGAAGAGCAGGTGGATCCAGAGTATGAAAGCTGCAGTGTGCTGCATGATGACGTGAGGCAAAGCAGCAACACCTCCAACTAAGAGAGACTGAGGAGAGGTGAAAGAACAGGCCTGTCTGCTGTAGCACACAGGTAGTGTATTTACCATGTAGTTCTAATTCAATTTAGCAGGAACTACATGGAATCTTTTTATTTATAGAAAAACTACCAATAGTTTCAGGTGCAATTAATGTAAGTGTAAATAATGACTCCAATCCACTGTGACTAATAACCTATCTAAAGCAATTAAGAAGTCTGTTGATTTTTTTATACATTATTAAAATGAAGTAAACTAATGACCTGATCCACCCTGGAAGTAAAAATGGATGTGTCTATCCCAAAATAAATGGCATGGTGTAAAATGTTTTTTTCAGTAATGTGAAAGGTAGCCTGTGGAGTCTTTGACATCTACGAGAAGTTATGAGCAGGTGCCTGTTTTGTATGCCTCATGCATGTGCATGTGGGTTGGCACTGTACTACGCACATTCATGCCAATGGGTTCACATCATACCACTGATCAGTAATTAGTTGTAACAAGCCAAAACAAGTAGCAATGCATGGGCAAAGAAAAGAAACAAAATTACATAGATTTAAACAGTACAGGTCACTTTTAAAAAAGAAAATCAGCTTTGCAAGTGTGTTTGTAGGAAGGAAGGAATTGCATTCACCGTGATTTTAGGCCCCAAGGATATACTAAATGTAAACATAACTTTTGTTTGTTCTTAACTTTTGTTTGTTCTATTTATATATGTATTTTCTTCTGTTGCAATATGTCTGCACAACACAAACCTGGAATAAGGCACATCTCTGTCTGTCTGTAAATATCTGCGACGTTGTTCTTTCTCTGCAAATAGTTGTATTATTTTTCTCTATTCTTTTTATATTCTTATATAACTTGCATTGTTTATTCCATATTTATATATTTCTAGATTTATTTATGTCTACTGTATGTTTGTCTACGTGTAGCACCTTATCACCAAAGCAAATTCTTCGGATGTGTAAAACACTACTAGGCAATAAAGCTCCTTCTGATTCTGAAGAAAACTCCACAGGGCACCTTTAAGCGTACATAATTTGCAGTAAATTACATAAAACACAAGCACTGCCATGGTCCTTTTTTTAAAATATCTTGGTGGTTTCTAGAAATAAAAATAATTTGCTGAACTATTACTAATGTATTGGTTCTGGAAGCAGCACAATCCATTTTTATTGTGCTATCTTGCAGAAATGGATATTGTAGGCCACTCAGCCGCCAACATGACATGGAACCACTGTAGCTGAAGATGTTCACTCAACAGATACCAGATATCAGCTCTACTAGTAGCATGATGCATCAATGGGGGTAAAAAAAACCTCTGATGACACCACAAGAGAAGAGGAGTCTTGCAGTTTACTGTGGCATCGCAATGTGACGCACAAGGGAAAAAGTTCCCACAACAGTTACATTTTTTAACTCTCAAACAAACTGTGCATGTTTTTGGTGTTATTTTATATCACTATTTATTGCATTTTGTATGGTACGTGTGTCCAGTGACTTATTTTTGTATTTTAAAAAAAGACATTTTATGATTTATCACATGTATAAATATGTAATTGTACTCTGAATTTCTAATCTGTAATTACAGAGTTATTAAATCTTTTCTAAAGCTGGCACTTTTATTGTCTCATTGCTAAAGTCATTCATGTGACTCTGTAATATTTAACCTGTAATGTAAGTAAACGCACACAAGCCATCGGAAGGTATGGTTAATGCTTTTTCTTGAGTCGATTTCCAAAGCTCTATAACAAGAGCAGGAAGATGTGGATATTTAGATGATTCATTCACTTACTGACTTGTTTTCCTTCCCAGCAGCCGTATATTCAATAGACCAATGCATAGTATAAATTATACATATAGCTGTAGACAAACACCAAAATTTAAAAAGCTAGAAAGAAAACCTGACATCCAAACCTCAATGACACCTTTAATACAAATTTCTGGCAACAGTATGTACAGGGCAACTGTTTTATTGAATACAACTTTAAAGAACAGCAACTGTTTTTGAACTTAGGCTATATAAAAGTGTTATATCATTTATATGTAACTGTGCATTGTACATATCTGCTTAGCACTACAGTACTATGTGTAAATTAGTTTAGCATTTAAAATAATTAATGAAATTAAATCTAATTTTGTGCTCACAGTAAAGTAAGATATGCCTTCATATTTACTGCTGTAAAAAAACATCAGTGATGTATTATCAGGTTGTATTAACTTATTTTGCACAACATATTGTTTGTAACAGAAGTGTAAAAAGAAGAAATACAGGTCAATAAAATTGCCCGGTTGGAACCTGAGATGTGTAAGATACACCAAGAGTTTTTAAAACCAAAGTTATAAGTGGAGCTGTTATTATTTTCATTTTAATTAATTATGTGTTTTAGAAAAACACTGAAACTATGCTTTAACCTGTCATATTTTGGATTACAGGAGTAGTGGTAGTTGTACTCACCATAGTTGTTGTTGTACTCACCTTAGTGGGGAAAAACCCATCCATCGTCAACAGCTTATCCTGCGTACAGGGTCGCGGGGTGGGTAAAAATAGCAGGCGAAATTAGTACTTAAAAGCTGAACCCTTTAAACGCCTCAGACTATCAGCCAATCGAAAACAAGTCTCACGGAGTTTAAAAGTCGAGTAGCTCATACCAATGCGAAAATAGGTGCGTGCCGTTTTGCTTGTTTTCGTGTTTTTCATTGCAGTTTACACTAAAAACACCGCATTCCGATATGTTTGTTGAAGAATGGACATAATGTGCAAATAATTTCGTTGGAGTATTTTTTCTTGTTTATAGCCAAAGATATTTTTTCTTTTTACGTTTTTACACCCCTACGTCTCATACTTGAGATCTTCCGGTGTCAAAGTTGAACGGCAGTGCTGTCAAGTCTTTGTTGCCTGTGTTGCACCTCATATGTTGTGAATAGAAGAGCGGGGTAGATGGGAAAAAACTGTTATTTGTACAGAAGAAACACGTTTAACCCGTACACCCAACAGGTTCGTAGACGTTTTTAATTACTGCTAAATTGTGTAAAATTCTCTCTCGAGGAATCTCTTGTGGGAAGCGGAACCATTCATCCATACAAAGTTAGCTGAACAGCTAGCTGCTGGCTAACATTAGCTGCACTTGTGGCACAGCTACTGAACCGCTGTTAACAATACCATTCATATTATCACCCGAAATACTAAACGGTTATAAGTGAAGTGTGATAGCTACAAACTCGTACCTTTTATTCTGCTAGCATTGTATTCTAAACCTGGTTTAAAATGGCAACTTTTTAGCTGGTTTTCATTCGGGTTTAGCTTGTTAGTTAGCATAGTCATGGATGAGGAAGAAGCATTTTAGCAGAATTTGTCGTTTAGGATATCTATTGTTGTACTTTTCATAAAATAGGGTCTGCATAGTAGTGTTTTAACATCGTTTTAATGTGTATGCACCATCTAAGTTATCCTTTTGTTGGTATTTTTTTATGTTATGGTTGATCATTTGTTGTTAACTCTACAGTTTGTATACAATGCCCTGGCACATGCATTCAGTTTCATACAATGACAGACTCTTAATATGCTAAAACACGTGTACATCACCTAGCTGTATTTCCTCAATATGCATATTGATTTATTTAATAAAGTCAAACCACCCAAAAGATGGAAGAAAAGCTGAATGGATCATTCCCTGTTGTCTCCCCGGAGTATCTTCATCAGTGGTGAGTCTTCCTCCTCATCACAATGTGGCCATACAGGTATCAGATCAGTAAACCTCTAAATGGTAAAGTGTGATGAAAATGAAATGAAAGCATGTGCGCCCAGTTGACCTTTTGATTTTTGTTTTACCATTGTTTTCATAACATACCATTTGGTTTGTGCACCATGAAAAAGGATTAAAGTGATGTGTATGTTGTTTTGTTATAGGTTGTTGGCATTTTAATGTAGTTTAATACAGGGAGAATACAGCAAAACATCTTGATGGTGGAATGTCTTTCCCCTTAATATGATGTGAAGCTTTACTATAGTCTCTTTGATTCAATGACGATTGTTGACTGGGGAACTAACAGTGTGGGTTTTCAATGTGGTGTGAAAATAAGTTGCAAGCAGCTCTGCCAAGTTGCCAGTTTAGCTAAAACCTAATGAGGACATACAACAGACCTGCAATAATACCTACCATTGTCAAGGTTATAATGTTCCATTTTAGTTAAAATTGTTTAAAAGAGGTGTTGATTCAACTTTATGGTCATTTTAAAAGCTGTAGTTTGACGGACTGTTGAATTGTATTCCGTTAAACAAAAAGCTGTTTCCAGTATTTAGTTCATAAAGCTTGATACCTCTCAAATGCTTTCAGCTAAATTGGCAAACTAAGAACAGTTTGCAGGGTTATTAAATTAACCTAATATTGGGTTCATCTAATAAACTAATAAACAATTCGGACCTAATAATTAAGTTGTGAAAAAGGACCACATCCTTGTGAGGCGATTATGAGGGTGGTGATGGTGGATAAGACACATCTCTTTGGTGTGGTGAGACCCGGGTTCAATTCCCACTGTGACATAACCATCAATGTCAAGCAAGACACAAACCATAATAAATAATAATAAATAAAGACTAGTTGCTCATGTTGACATGTATAGCAATTGTAAGTTGCTTTGGATAAAAGTGTCCGCTAAATGAATAAATTTAATGTATCAGGATTAACTGACTCAGCAATTGTAGGAGAGAGTGCATCAGTTATGCTTTATTAATTTATCAAACCAAATGATCAATGATTTGAAAACAAAAAACATAACGGCACATAGGCAACAATGCAAACTGGTCCAAGTCAGGTTGAATCCCACAGCACATCCCATCACGATTTCACTTAATGTATTTATAATTTCCATGTTTTATTTTTCTTATTAATTCACCACAGGGTTCAGTCTGCACAGCAGTTTCAAGCTCTCCAGGCCCAATATTCAGGCTTCAACTCCAACAATCAGTATCACTACCCGGAGGAGCAGACGGGAGAGACAGCCGTACCACACATGGCTAATCCAGAACCTATGATGGATCAACAGGAACCTGCCAACCTGGCAAAACGTACTATGATCCTTTTTGAATGAAACATCCTCACTCATAGATGAGCTGGTTCTGGTCCCAGATTTCTTAATTTGTCTTTAAGTATTGACTCAGTGTGTTAACTGAAGGTGTGCACAATGATGTATGAATGATAAGATGTGATGAAAGTCTTGTAATACTGTATAACATTAGCATGCTTGCTAGTAAGCATGATTTCGAAGAAAAGCTTTGTGTAAGTAAGTGACAGCCTTGCTAAATGTATTTAGCGTTCTCAAGTAATTTGGAGTAGTGGGGGTTTGCAGTGAAGTTTTCTATGCTTCTGGACACTCTAAAGTGTAATTAAATGGAGTGATATTTAGCACAGTAACATAAAGATGAAGTCTGTCAATAGACAGTTCTTCCTTTTGATATAAACTATGTACTGTTGTATCCCCAGCCAAAAAGAGAGGCAGACCAGCTCAACCCAAGGAACCCAAGGCACCCAAACCACCAAAAGTCCCCAAGGCACCAAAGCCGCCTAAGGACCCAAATGCACCTAAAGCCAAGCCTGGTCCTAAGCCCAAGAAGGCCACTGAGGCTCAGGCAGATGGCAAGCAAGAGAAGATTGATGAGAGCTTCAAGAAGGTGAAGAGGAAAGTTGACCGTTTCAAAGGAATGTCAGAGGAGGAAGTCATGAAAAAAACTCTACCAGACCTGCTGGATTACAACCTGGACTATGTCATTGTAAGATTCCCTGTTCAACTGTTTTAACAGTGGAGCCAAACAGTGTGCTGTCAGGAATGAATTTGAGTTCATAAGCTTAAAAAACATCTGCCATTTTGCTTTTAGATTGGTATCAATCCAGGACTGATGGCAGCTTACATTGGACGGTGGTTTCCAGGTCCTGGAAATCATTTTTGTAAGTTGTGTGACAAGAATGATTTTGAGTTGTATAATAGTTAAGAATGGTTCCTATGCTTGTCTGCAAAACTGATCAGGGGATGGGAAATAGTTGTGGCTGTCCAAAGGTGTTTTCGAAATCCATGAAAGTGTGTGATTCTGTACTATCTTTGTAAGATCCTTTTTGACTTTGAGACCTGTAGAGTGAGGACTTTTTTGTGAGGCGAGGTTATAGTTTAAGAACATTAGAAGTGATTTTTACCTTGCTCTTCTGATAGAGATTAAGCAAGATGCTGTGACATGATCAGTTTGTGAAATGAATGACTGGGCTACTTTTCTATTTCAGGGAAGTGCCTATTTTTGTCTGGATTTACTGAGGCGCAGCTCAACCACATGCATGATACCACCCTGCCTGTTAAGTATAAAATGGGCTTCACCAACATGGTGGCCAGGGCGACACCAGGGAGCAAAGACCTCTCAAGGTAGGCCTACAGACTTATGTGGTGGTGAGGGGGGGAGGGGGGCGGCAAGAGACACTGAAGATGCATCCATGACATCGCTGATGGATTATGATTTTTTTCACTCACTATCATGTTTCATATTACTGGAGCATCCTAACTTATTTGTAACACAGTATTAAAACCATCTTTCTTCCGTCTTCATCTCAACAGTAAAGAGTTACGTGAAGGAGGCACAATTCTCGTAGAGAAGCTGAAGAAATACAAGCCTCTTATTGCTGTTTTCAATGGAAAATGTAAGCACTCCACTACAGAGCAACTGTTACAAAAAAAATATTCGTTAAAGTGAATGAAAGTAATATTTCTGTTTTCTCCCCAAAGGCATCTATGAAATGTTCTGCAGAGAGTTGTTTGGTAAGAAACCAAAGAAACTCGATTTTGGTTTGCAGCCACACAAGATCCCCGACTGTGATGTGGTGAGCACCTGGCTGTTTTACAACTTCATTGGGGATTCCTCAAATATTTAATTTTCCAGATTGGCCTCTGAAAATTTATTTTTTTTCCTACATTTTTAGCTGACCGCAGAGACTAAAGAGATCAGATCAGTACTTGATACCAGTCGAAATACATCAACATCATGGAAAGGATCCCTCCAAGTGACTCCCGATGACGCCCTGGAATCAGAAGTCTTGCTCAAGTTCTCGCTCTAAAATCTCGAGAGAGGCGAGTTGTTGCAGGAAACACCGTTTATTCCCTAATGTTACTCCACACAACAAATTCCTCTCTCCAACTCTGACTCACATCTGCAGCAACACTTTTGCGAGATTTCAGAGCGAGCATTGTCTTGAACAAGACTTCTGTTTGTTAAAAACAAAGGACGTCACTCGTAGGTATCCTTTCCATGTTGTGTGACACCTCGAATAAGAGTCTGAGCCTGTCAGTGGCAAAAAAAGAGGCTGCCGGTTTGCGGCTGCTGGCTGAAGCTATCTACTGCACGGATTCCAAAACCATTTCGATGTCATTTCGACACCAAAATATGTAAAATAGGCCTGATGTTTAAAAATACCACAATTATTCTTTAAGGGTTGAAAAAACATAGCAGTTTCATAAATGAAGAGCTATTACCTTTTGAAGAATTGATTTGAGTCATTTCCCCCTACACAGGCTCTGTATCTGATGCCTTCATCCAGCGCTCGTTGTGCTCAGTTTCCTCGTGCTCAGGACAAAGTCCACTTTTACATCAAACTGAGGGAGCTCAGAGATCAGCTGCAGGGGATCCAAAGAAGCACTGAGATTGAGGAGGTCAAGTACTCATTTAACCTGGAATTGGCCAAGGGTAAGCAAAGTCATCAATGAATGGATGTGTTTTCCTTAAGGTTATTTAACTCATTTCCCCACTTCTAGTGCAGTAAAATACTGCATGAAGAATTAAGCATTTAAAGTAGTGGCATCGTTTGTTTGATTCCCCGTTTCAGTACATCCTGATTTAATCATCCTGACTTTAGTTTGATCTCTGGATCCAGTTCAGATCATTTATTTACTCTTCCCTTTTTTACATCAACAGAGGATGCAAAGAGGATGGCAATAAAGGAGGAGCAGTACGATCCTGGTTATGAAGACGCCTACGGTGGAGTATATGCAGAGAGAGGACCTGAAGGGGGCCAGGCTGAAAGCCAGACCAACGGACACTGTACATTCTCATCTATAGAAAATACAGGTAACACACACATAGTTGAAATGGTTCACCTGTGCAGAGTTTATTCCACTCCTTACATTTTAACCATCTTTTAAGGTAAAAGACTTCAGCATGTTTACATAAACCAGGTTACTTCTTAAACGTCATGTATATGAGAAACTGTTTTTTGTAATCAGGGTCAGGGATCAGAGAACCCTGATTTCCCCTTCTAGATTTCTGCTGGAGAAACAAAGCCAGGTTGTCCAATATCCTGCATAACTGGTTCAGTATACCCAGGAAATCTTTTTGTTATCTGGCTTCACTAAGCCTATTAAGCCTAAAATCCACTGACTCCGGCTACGGTGCGTTACGGCTAGTCAATGCGCCCGAGTCCACCAGCTATGGCCACAGCGCGTCCCAGAAGCGGCTCTCTGCTCCGCAGAGAATAGCTAGTAAGCAACACAGTGCAGCTCGAACCAGGCAGGAAGTCAGACACTTAATGGCAGAGAGAATCTGGTAAATTTTCAAAATATAACACCCTTTGGAGACTCCCGATTGTAAAATGACAATAAACGCGGTTAAACGGACACAAAATGAAATCATTTAACTGCGCAGCCTATTTAATCATAGTAGAAGCACAAAAAGCAAAAACACTAAACATGTCAGCAAAATCAGGCAGGCAAAATGCTCTGATTCTGTAATGTTCCTCCTGGGAAATGCAGCCTGAAGTTGACTGAACAAAACAGGGTCACATAGAGCTGTGGAGAAGGTAAAAGAAGCACAAAAAGGACAAATTAATAACAAGTAAATAACGTGGGGCAGGCTGCACGCTCCGCTGCTGAAACGCTTCTGACACGCTTCCAGTGAATGTAAAAGTAAATGCTCCGTACTTGTATAGAGCCTTTCTAGTCTAGTCGACCACTCAAAGCGCTTTTACACTACATCGACTTTGACGCCGGGCTATGGACGGATAAAAACCGTAGCGCAGCCGTAACGTGCCGTAGTCAGTGGATTCCTAGAGTAACAATCACAATCAGGCTAAGCAGTCACACGACTCTGGCTATCAACTAGGTAAGTCAAACCAGGGTTTCCCAATCCAGCCATAAGTGCTTTCACATAAAAGGGGGCAGTGTCTGCAGCAGATGACCAAACATGGACAAGTCTGCTGGCAGCAGAGCATCATATATTACAATCTAAGAGCAAACTAATATTAAACATATGAAAAAAGTTGAACACATAATCAAGGCGAAAGGCATCACAGACAGAATATCGCAGACTGTGTAAATTCGTAAGTTAATATGCAAAATCTTTGTGTTGCTTAGATGCATTATTATGGCGTGTATGACAAATTTAGCCTCATTCTTTGAGCTTTGCGGTTTGTCAGCATTTGACATTAAGTGGTCATTCAACTCACTTTCAAGAACTTCTCATCACTTCCAAAAATCAGATGAATTTATTTTACGCACTCAAAACAATTCCCAACGTTGTTCTAAATAAGCTTCCTAAAGCAATGAAACTTTATTACAAGGGACAGATGACTGGAAAGTCAAATGTGAGCAACATGCACACTTTTCATGTTGGCAACAGTTTGTCCCCCCTGAAGTGATTCAGTACCTTGAAAAATTCCAGAAGTGTTATTATGTATATGACAAAGGTATAACAATAAACAAAATAGATATCAGTTGTGTCACATTATCCTTAGCAGAAGCTTTCAGTCTGTGTGTTGGCTGTCTTTAAAGGAGCACAGGAGGCGACCACGTCACAGATAGCTGAAGGCCAGCTCCCAGACGGACAGTGGATGACCCAGTCCTTTGCAGATGAGATCCCAGACATCAGCGGTGGTCCAAAGGGGGGCAGCGTATAAGGAAAAGACTTCTTTTGTCAGGTTTAGGTTGTTTTCCTTTTTATTAGTGTCTGAGTGGGAAATACACACATAGATGGACTTTTTAGAGATTTTGCAGAATATTCTTTCTGCACTTTTTATTTTGTTTGTGGACTTGTATACATGTATGATCATCTTCATGGCAGTCTTTTTAAATATGTGAAATCAGGGACTTGACAATGATGCTTGACTGTCCTTGGAGAAGGTCTTGTATTTAAATGTCTGTTTTGCCTTTGTACTGTACTATACTGCACTGTGATGCAGTAAGTGTAAGCATTCATCTCTACTGACAGATAAAACTCCAGATGGTTATTTTATCAGTGTGACTGTAAGATCCTCTATGTGAATTGAGGATTTAGCTAGCATTAATGTTTTTACATTCATGGTGCTATGAACTAACCACAATGCAAAGTGATCACTCAATGAAACCAGACTCATAATGGAGATTTCACAGAAGGAATTTCTGTCAAGCCTTTCAATATAATGTTACAAAACTTAAACAGGTAATATTTTAATCTTTGTTATCACTTTTCTGGTTTAGGAATTTTAGAATTATGATTTGTATGTTTATGAAAATGTCATTCACAAGGAATTTTATGAAACAGTTGTCCATTAAAATGTCCTGATGATGATTTTTCTATATTATTGGATCACCTTCAGTCTTTTCAAGAGTCATAAAGCCTCTTGGGTAAGCTTAGAGTGCCAGAGATTTGTCTGTAAGAAATTCATAAAATCAACATGCTTTTAAACACACTAAACCCTGGATAACGACTTATCGTTGAAACTATCACTTTTTATGTCAATGCTTACTTTATCAATGCTTAAATTAAGTCTCTTAAATTATTTTATGTACTGTTCTCGGAATGCTGGTTATTCAACAGCAAGTTATGCTCATTTACTTGAAGTTTGGGGTATTCTTTTTAAAGCACGATGCCTGGGAAAAGTTAGGTAAAGCTGGCCTTTCTGAGTCGATACACAGGAGTCAGAGAAATCCAAACAAACAAGCATTTCTTCTTCTACACAACAAATGTCATTCATAAAAAAGTTTAACATTTGCAATTATTTTCTTTCAAGATCATTTTCTAAAGGCTGTTTGCCTTTATTAGACATTGATAGCTGGAGAGAGACAGGAAATGCAGCAAAGGGCCCGGGCCACTGTGGTAAGGACTTATCCTTAGTACATGCAAGCTACTGGGGTGGCTAAAATTATAAAATCTACTACAATCTACTTTTTTGTTTGTTTTGCCTGGGTTATGGTTGATGACACATCTGTTTACTTCTGTGGTTTAAAGTCATCTTGCTACATGAAGAGGTTTTGGGGGTGGATGGACCCAGTGAAGAGTTTTGTTGGAATTCCTGGCGTTTAATGTTTTTGTCTCCTGCTGTCTGGGTTCTGAGGTCTGAATTATAGGACCTGCTGCTGCAGCGCTGCTCTGGAAATGCACTGGAGAATACAAAGATGAGCATCACCAAAAATAAGAGTAGTTTTGCAATGTCATCTATTTATAAAGTGGTGTTAGTTAAACAGCTGCAGTGGCAAAGACGTGTATATTAAGAATAACCGATAATTACCAATCCAATAACAGAGATCAAAATTTATTAATTTGATTAACTCGAGGTTAATTTTATTAAATTTGCAAGTGCACACACCTGTTAGGTTCCTTGCCTTCGCTGTTCCATGTCAGCCTGCAAAGTTCTGCAGTCGACGTCAGCAGTCTGCTAGTCGCTGCACAGCCTGATATCATGCTGTCACAAGAAAAGAAAAATATCATAAGTATAAAAAAATGTAAGTGATGCCACTGATTGTTGTTAAAGTAATTTTCCCAGTGCAGAAAGGAGCAGGATATTAAGTTATGTTGCTTCATCTCCTTCCCTTTTGGTTGCATAATCAAAGCACTTTACCTTTTGGTGAGTAAGAAGGTCAGTTCAACAGGAAGCATTAGGAAGGTCAGCAGATACATAAGCACTTTTGCTGGAAGGAACTTAATGAGCTGAGACCACTGAGTGCTGCCATCATGACTGTCCCTGCATGCCTCACACAGCACTAACACACACACACACACAGTGGACATCACACCAACTTATGTCTGTGTCATAATAGTTATATTACCTGTGAGATATTTTGTACTTGGGCTCAATCCAAATTCATTTATCACAAGAAGTATCCTCTTAAGATTCACATTTCCAGTGATGATTCTCCACTGAGGAGCTTCACAGTGGTGGTTAAGTGCTTTGCTCAAAGGTTAAGGGCAAGAAGGGCATTCATTATTCTCTTTCCTATTCCCTTTTTTGTATCCTTCCTGGGAATTTTTACCCGTGTCCTAGGAACAAGTTTGATTCCAATAAACCAAGTCCTTACATTTAATCATCACTTATCCTTTTTCGGTTTTCTAACTAAACCCTTTCTGTGACCTGCTGATTACGAGCAAGTCCCACATGTCCTCCTTACCTTTCTTGAAGCTAACTGGGAGGTTCTCTATGACTTTCTGGTCCAGCCATAAATGATCTTCCTGTTGCTGAGGGTTTTGTCCATTCAACAGTGTCGTCTTTGACTCTTCTGCTTGCTCACAGCAAGCAGGTCTGATTGCGTCTCTCTCCGCCACCAAACTGGTGGTAAGATGCTGCCCAAGCAGATCTATCACAGACAGTTGAGTTAATATAACATGTGTTGGTTGTTAAGATCAAATAGACTCAGTCGTGAGGAGGATGCATGTGTTGGAGCTCACCTCTTTCACTCAAGAAAGAAAGAGCATCCTTGTAACCGTTGTGACAGATTTCAGCAAGCTTCTGTTAAGAACAAGTGGAAATCATGAAGGTGTGTTTGCTCTTTTAAATTACAGAGAACTGCTACGCATCACAAGGTCCATTTGTCTTTTACATTTATTCATTTAGGTGACGGTGACGCTTTTAACCAAAGCGAGTTTCAATTCCTAAGTATGTCAGAGGTCGCACTCCTCTGGAGCAACCAGGGGTTAAGTGTTTTGCTCAGGGACACATCAAAGTCATGAGTCTTATCAACTGCGCCATTGCCAAACTTAATACATTACATTTCTTGGTGTGACAAAGATTGTTATATTAAAGTAAAATGACCCACCTCAAGTCTGGGAGAGAGGAAGGATGTCCAGACCCGGTACACATTGCCTGTGTTGACCTGGATGCTAACGTTGCCATAGTGAACCTCTAAGAAGTTGAACGTGCCCTCACTGGGGCAGATGTCGCTCTCGCCAGAGAAGGGGGCCATAGTGATGGTGTTTCTCTGCTCGAACAGAGGCATGTTGTTGCTCAGGGCTCCATCCATATAGAGCTGAGAGGAAGGAGAACTGACTGAATGTTGATTACTGTCTCAGATGGCCGCACAGATTCAAAATGTGCAGCTTAAAGGGTTTGATAATGTAATTATTATTACATTCTTGATGACAAACATTTGGATGTGACTGAAAAAATGTCACTGCATCTATATATCAACGGATGGCTAACGTTAACATTTAATAATGTTTAGCAGGAGAGTAATTTGACATCATTGACTGTTCTCATATTGCCCGGCCACAAATTATTCTGAACTGATCCTACTCTTCAAATCCATTAAATCCATGTTTTGAATTTAATAATGTATCTTAAGTTATTGATTTCCTACATTACTTAGATTCCCTTTTGTAAATTTCAGAAAAGAAGCATGAATTTGTTGCATTCAGCTGTGAGTTAAAGTGTCTTACTAGGAAAATAGTAAGAAAGACAAAGCAACAGCCTTTAGAGATGAGAAAATCTTCAAATATTATCTCCAAACTTCAATGCTTTCTGGTCTAATGAGTCAACTGTCAGTGGGGGAACTGGTACTCCTGCTGTTCTTTGTTTTTTTCCCTATGTGACTGTTAAACATGGAGGCACAATGGCAGCTGTAAAAACAACACACAGTCCTTTTATGTTTAAATGTTTGAATCAAAATTATGTTTAAAGCTAAAACATTATGTACTCCATTGTAGCTGTGTTGCAAGTATTGGAGTAAAATAAACAAAACAAAAGCCCAGAAATGGTCAAGTAGTAGAAAGAACTGTAATGTGGGACCAACACAGTGTTGTGTAATGACCCTAATGAAAACCGCAAGTCAAAAGGTGTTGGTCTCACAATGAAGTTGGTATTTCAACTACAAGTGTTGGTGGAGTTTTGACCTATTCAGATTTTTTCCTTCTCTGTGCATCTTGCAGAAGGTGATGTGCCAGAAATTCCTACTCTGGATTTTTACCCCTGTTTATGTGATTCATACATTCTGATTACAAGGGCTTTAAAGTATATAAAATGTATGTTCTTTACTTTCAAGCCCTTATGATATTACTATAATAACAATATACTGTATAACCATTTCCTTCTAACCCTTTTACAAAAATCTAAATTAAAAAATGTACAAGATTTCTAGGCCTACTCACCACTCCACGGTATGAGGGTGGCATGAAACCACAGTAAACAGGGAAAAAGCAGCTGCACATGAGAACCTGCAAAGGAAGACAAGGCAGGATAAAACTTCAGGTATTAGACTCGCAGCTCCTGGCATTTGCTGGAAGACTGTCAGCACAGATGCTATGAAGTCAGACCAGGCTGCAAAAAATGTTTTGTACCCCTCTTAAATCTGTTCTACCTGAATGAGCTCCTCTCTGCTGTCGAACTCTGACACCAAAATGTTCTTCCCATCAGCCAGTCTGGTGAGGGACACGCAGAGCTTTCCAGAGGCCCGAAGGTGGGCGTCTGCTGGCAGCCTCTCCAGCAGGGATTCCCGTACGATCCGCAGCAGACTGAAGGTTGGGTGGAAAACTCCCAGTGTGTGTTTTCTGGCCTCTTTCGCCGTGTTCAATACATCGACACACAACTGTTCTGAGGAGGAAAACTTATCAACATCAGCCTTTGGCTATAGTAATGCATTTATTATGCAGTAAAGGTGAATAAGTGAATGAGAGAGAATTAATAACATGGTTAACTTTAATAAAGTTATCTTTTGATATTGTTTCTGTATTTACTTTAGCTATTTTGTGATTCATCGGGTTCTTTGATGTATTCAAGAAGCAAGCGTTGTTGCTCTGCTGCAAAATGCATTCTGGCTAATGCAGGAAATCAATGACTGACGCATTGTTTCAACTGATTTGTTTCTTATCTCACTGCCCTTTGCTTGTTGCTTTATTACTGTCAGTCATTTTTATCATTTTAGCTTAGGATTTAAGGTTGAGTTGAAAATAAAAATAAATTATTATGGTGTTTTTTGTTTTTGCGATTTTATTTTATTTTTATTGTTTTACTCTGAGTTAATGACTAAGAAAATAGAGCAGAGAGACAGTGAGTGACACGTGCTTTTTCTCATTTGGCCTCCCTTGGCTTTAACTTTGACCTCTGGAATTTGCTCTTACTATTGCACGAACTCTGTGTGTCAGAGAACCTGCCAAGTACAGTGTTTACTCCAAGTATCAATAACAGCACTTTCTGAATGGCCAGGTACCTCATATACTACAGGAAGCAAACATGTGGTGAAAAAAGTGGTGAATAACAAAACAAACTAAAATATTAATGAGGCTTTTACAAGCTACTTGCTAAGTATTTTAGGCATACTGATGATGCATTTGGCAATCATCATGAGACAAACAACAAATTGTCAGCAAAACAATTGAATTATAGAACATGGTGATTTGAGTCAGACGGAAGAAATGTACACTCTAATCTGCAATGTACAGTAAACTCACCAATGGGAATCCCAACTGTCAGAGCTGCAGCCACAAGACAACCAGATGAAGCTCCACAGATTTTAGAGGCTCCATGAACCAGCTGTGGGACCTGCTCAAGGATACAGCTCAAAGCTCCCAGGTAGTAAATACTCCTAAATCCACAGCCTGCAAAAGAGATGTTCCACTCCTCGTCCCAGTTAAACATCTTCTCTGAGGTTACTATCAACTCAAAACCACATCTTTTCAATCATACATCAGAGTTCAGCTGGTGCATTTGGATTCCTTGTGGAACATGTAAACCACTGTCTTATCGTCACTACATTTAGAGATAAAATGGGCAGTACTGTGCTACAGTCTGATATTGCACAACTTGCTAGGCTCAAACGTCATATATTTCAAAACAAAGAACAGGCTGGATACTTCACTTACATGCCATGTGATACAGTTTTCATAACTAACCAACACTATACTGTGTACAGAAGGGAGGCAGGCGGGGTCAAAGGTGGGCATGGGAAAAACAAACATCCTCAGTGTGACTGAACTGACTTATTGCACATCATCATACCGAGAGAAAATAAAGTACAGGTTTGAAAAACTATATTTAAAGGAGCTACCTATATGAAAACAATTCCTATCCAGTCTGTCCAGTCTTCCCACTGACTTATTCAATGGATTATTATTTTCAGATCCTAGAAATACATGTGATAAAATAAAAAACACACACACACACACCCACCACGCTCAACTGAGTAAACCTTGGTCACTTGATCCTTTATGTAGCTAGTAATAAACAAAAAAAGTACGACTAAGATCAATCTCTAATTTGACTTAATATTGTCACACCTACATGTGACATCAGCTGACAATGGTGCATCATAATATGACAGTACGTCAGTACAAGTTGATAAATAGACTATTATAAAAAAATCAATAAATGAAATGTATAAATACATATATAGCAAAGATCCAACTTTGAGTAGAATCGAGTTTGTTTTTCTATCTTCCATCAACTGAAATTACGATGTTGTGCACAGTGAGTTTAACTACTGCTGCCTTTTGCTCCTGAGCGGTGAGAGTGAACCAGAAGAGTAAAGATTCAGGCTGGAAGACTAAAACAATGAGCTCAAAGATCCAATAAGCTCCAATAAGCTGAGGGGAACTGCAGTCATGTCATAATTCTCAGTGGGATAGCGCCACCGCTCATATTACACACAATAATAATAATAATAATAATAATAAGGTTAAGTAGGCAGGACCTCAAGAAAACAAATATAGTGCAGTTAGTACTACTATGCAGTTGCTTACTGTATCTGAGATCCCGCTGACATTCTCTTTGATAGTGACACCACAAAACACAGGACATTTTCCATTCCTTTATTAAACATTTTCATTTCTTCTGTGTAATATTAAATATCTTTACTCAAATGCAGAAAAGGACACTGAATCATCCGTCTTGAGGTGTGGACTATTTCGGATCCACCCCACGGCTCTGCCCAAACCCCAGGCTCTACCTGCGCTTGTAGTGGACTCTGTGGTGGCTTCACCAAACTCAGAGGTGGGTGTAGGGGGGGGGGTCAGGGACAAGTGGTCCAACTCACTTTGCATGTTCCAGGTGAAGGCAAGACCGGAGGTGGGCGTGGCTTCTGGGGTCATTGGGAGAGCACTGCACAGGTTCAGGCCTAACGGCAGGCTTGTACATCTGCGCAGTGGCTTCTCACTGGAAAGAGCACAGGATTAAAAAAAAAGGGATAGTTTAATTGTGTCAGGCCAACACTGTGCACCAATGTGAAATGTAAGAGATTCAGTATCTTTTCATCTATGATCTAGTGAGACAAACAAGCCAGAATGTCCACTCGTGTTAAGACAAGGCATTCAGCAAAGCACAACTGAGCTCAAGTATAGCCAAACATGTTTTTTTTGTTTTGTTTTTATAGGAGGTATTACAACTCGCAGTGAACTGATGAAACCGTGGCACAGTCTGCACATTTATAGATCTGGAAAGGAGAAAGGGTTATTACACTGCATACCTGTCGTAGTCCTCCACATCATCCTTCAAAGCTTGTTTGTATGTGTCTCCAGCCTTGCCATAGAGCCAGCTCATGTCCCTTGACACATCTGGGATCCAGTGCGCAAGTCTAAAAGGAACAGTCAAAGTCTAGGTTAAATTAGCACATCTTGTGTGCAGTGGTAGAAAGAAAAAGGTACTTTCTTAGGATGTATTACTAATCCTACATTAAAATTTGACTTAAGTGAAAGCTGCAAATATTAGTAATGAATTGTTGTCAGGAATAAAAGTTATTGTAAAGAATAAATGCTGTTTTGCTGTGGATCTTTTTATTCCTAGTTTTGGGGCTTTTCATGCTGTCACGTTAGTTGAAAATGGAAAGGAGGGAAAGGCACGACGGAATCTACAAACAGAAAGACATGCCATGATGCTTATTATCTGCTTATCTAACATAAAAGGACTTAAAGTATTTACAGCTGTCAGAGAAATGTAGTGGAGTATAATATTTCCCTCGCTGCTGCACGCATACTGACAAGAACCAGTAGGAGAGATCATATCACCCCTGTTTTAGTTACTTTGCACTGGCTCCCGGTAGAATTGAGAATTGATTTTAAAATACTTCTTACATACAAAGCTCTTAATGGTCAGACACCATCCTATATGAAAGAACTCCTTACACCATACTGCTCAACTAGAACACTGCGCTCCCAAAATGCAGGGCTACTTGTAGTGCCTAGGTTCTCTAGATGTAGAATGGGAGCCAGAGCCTTTAGCCATCAGGCACCTCGGCTGTGGAGTCAGACCCCTGTCTGGGTTCAGGAAGCAACCAATATTTCCATATTTAAGAGTAGGTTAAAAACAAAAAATTAAAAGCTTTTAGTTAGGGATGTTTTTTCTATATTTTATGAAAAGGCTTATAGTTTGGGCTAGGGTATTTTATGAATTTGTATACATTGTCTATTTTATTGTATTAGTTTTGAAATTGTGTATTTTATTGTTGTTTTTTAATGTGTGTTTCTTATGTGTTGTAAGCCTTTTTTATCCAGTTCTGCAAACTTTATGTGTCTCTGTTTTCTGTAAAGTGTACTGGGACCACACATCTGGTGATTTTACAATTTGATTTGATTTTGATTTGAAATATAGTGAAGTAAAAGTATGAAGACTCAATGTGCTTCATCGTCATAATTAAAAAAAAACTTAAAAAGACACCTTAGATGCTGCTGCAGACTATCCTGGAAAATAACTTTGAGACTATTATCATCCTCCAAATATCCATCTGTTGTTCATAGTCAATATTACACGTAGTTTAAAAAAGTATTTGCAAATCATTGGAAGCATTTGTTGCAACCTATTTGGACTGCAGTACCAACATGCCCTTTGTTGGCTTCAAGATGACAAAGATAGTATCTGATGATCACAGGGAAGAATGCTTAAGTGGCTCCAAGCATATTAGAAATAATTTGGATGTGGTACTGTAACAGGTTAGCACACTGTACCTCTTGGCAAGAGAGCAGGCCGACACCACAGGCAGAGTACAGGAGACTTTCAGGTACGCAGTCATGTTGGACAACAGACCACCAGCAGTATGTGCCTTTCTACAGGCCTCACACAAAACTGACAAATAAATTTAAAAAGAAACACACATTTAGTTTAACTGTATGTACTGTACTGGCTCAGTGACTCACAGTTTCTTCTGTTTGAATCACAGCCCTGTACACAACCATGCCAGCCAACCTTTCAATGACTGTTCTTACCCCTTTTAATGTTAACTGGGAGGTGCTCAGTCAGCTGTGGATCCAGCCACCTGTGCTCTTCCTTAAATGGTTTCAGTCCATGTGTGTTCTCCTTGGACTCTTCAGCTTCGGCCGGCTCCTTCACCAGCTCACAACAAGCAGGCTTAGGTGCATCCATCTCCAAACTTCTCAGGGGACTCTCACTGCTGATCAGATCTGTGATGGATTATTCAAATCAAAATGATTTGCACAATAAGAAGCATTGTATTACACACCATCAGCTGCTGCAGCTAGTAGAATACAACTTTAAAATCCCGACCTTCTGTTTCCATTATTGCTCCACAGTAATTATGGCAAGATGTCCTTACTGTTCTCTTGCAGGAAGCGGAGAGCATCCATGTAGCCATTCTGGCAGATTTCAGCCATTGTCTGTAAAATCCGAAAATGCTTGGTAAGGATGGAAGCTAAATTAATAGACACACAAAATACTTTGAGTTCACCGTTTGTCGGTATTAAAATAAATGGGAGACTTGCCTAGAAGTTATATTTATAGGTTGCAATTACAAATTATGACCAGCAGAGAGCAGAATGGAGGCATCAAGTAATTTCAAATAATCCCTCAGCAACGTTTTGGTTCAGGCAGGACTTTGACAACACACCTTGGAGACATGCTTTCATCTTCTTTGAAAAAGAGAAGACGCAACAATAAGTGGTCTGTATGTGCTCATATTGGTTGGAATAATCCAACTGTAGAGGAATCCTGACTTGCCCTGTACTGCTTTGACTCCTGTATGGCCTTTCCCTGAGTATCAGCTGAACTTTCATTGCTTTTCTATGATCAGAGATATCCAATAGTTACATGAAATACTTCTTTGTGAGCCATCAATATCATTAATAACTCATACCACCTTATATAAACAATTCTGAACTATCCATATTTAAAGTCTGTGTAAGCTGATTGTCATGCCATATTGAAAAGAAAGACAACTGAAATCATTGGAAAATAATGGCTGCTGAAAGGGAGGATAACAAGCATGTTTAATCCATAAAATTAATGCCTTAGAAGGCTGGCAGTAGTAATATGAAATATGTGATTTGTTGTAATTGGGCGGAACAAAAACCAAAACTGAATAGTTCAACAGAATTTACAGAAAACAACCTGAAGTATTTAACATGTGTTGTACAAAATTCAGTACTATATCCACAGAATATACATAAGTCTGTTATCCTAAAAACACCATTTTTAACTAAAAGTGTTTCTAACTGCTGCAATTGAGAGTAGCTTCTGAAACATAGGCCATCTGTATCTCACCTCAGGATTGGGGGGGAAGAAGGAGCTGGCCACCCTGAACATGTTCGCTGAGTTGACCTGGATGCTGACATTGTTGAAGCGCACCTCGTGGAAGCTGAGCGTGCTCCCTCGAGGGCAGAGGTCAGACTCACCGGCATATGGAGAGAACGTGAACGTGTTTTTCAGGTGACATCGAGGCAGGTTGTCACTGATAGCACCGTCCACGTAATGCTGAGTGGAAAAGGAGGGTGTTGATCAATGGGTAGAACCGGAAACGTATTCCTGGTCTCAGATATTGAGGTTAATGAATATCGTCCAAGACATTGGCCACAGCTTTCATGTAGATGTAACAATTAACAGGCCATGCAGTGACTAAAGCACTTTGGTTAATCTTGAGGAAGAGTGAAGT